GTGTGTGTGTGTGTGGGGTGGGGGGGGTTGCCAGGCAACGGTAACGATGACCTCACCGCAGGCTCAGCGGTGCGACGATGAGTGTGATGTGATGCACACACACACACACACACACACCCCCTTCACTTCTCTCTCCTGGCTCCTGGAACTCTTTCTTCTCCTCTTCACTCCTTCCCCCTCTCCCCCTCTCCCTACCCCCGTCTGCTGTCTGGCTCCGAGTGTGTCGCCATGGCGACGGCCGGCGTCGGGCACTCTCCTCGACCCTGTGCCAAGCACTGGCGGCGGGGGGGCCAGCAGCCGGGAGTGTGCCACATGCCCCTGCCCGCTCCCACCACGGATCAACAGCACCAGAGCTGCTCCGGCGTTTCAGCAGCTCAATTCACCGATGGTCCGTCTCCGGGCACAGGCTTGTACGCAGAGACCCGGCGCCTGCTTCGCGCCAGATCCCTTGATCCGACCTCCCCCCCGCCCCCCCACGAAACAGGGAGCCGGGGACAAAGTTAGGGGCTGGATCAGGCTCGAACCCGAGACATCCCGTTTACAAGACCCGGGCCCTTAACGCCAGGCCCGCTTGTCGTCTGCAACCCCCCCACCCTCCTCCCAGGCTCCATCGGAATCCATCTGCCACTGTGCCGGAGCTGGGCAGTCTCTTCAGGACAGCTTGGGCGCCTGCCTGAGCACACCGCAGAATCCCGGCTCTTCCGGCAGGTTTGATTCTGTCGGTTTGGCGAAGCCGACCGCGCGCCGGTTCTGTGGCACCGGCCTCGGCGCTCAGCACCAGCAGTAACGGCTGGCGATGAAGAGCGCGGACCATAAACAAGTTGGAACGAAGGTGACGGGGTCGTCTCTGTCTCTGTCTCTGTCTCTGTCTCTGTCTTTGCTGCGAGGGAGAGGGGTAAAGGAAGGAGTTTAAAGATGGCGAAGGAGTCGAGTGGGGGAATGAGATGGCATCTGTGGGATTAGAAGAGAGAGAAACTGGAGTGAGGAGGAGGAGGAGGGACAGAAAGAGAAGATAAAGCAGTGGCAGATGACAGTTGCCTTGGGAAGAGAGAGATGGGTGGAGAGACAGAGAGCTGTGTGTGTTGCAGGAGAAGGGGGGGTCAGTGCACTAATTGAGGCTGATTAACTCGTTAACATTCCTGTGATACCGCGCTGCTCGTCTGGGGCTGATGAAGGGGGCTCAGACTTAGACACACACGTGCGCTCGCACACAGACACACACACAGACACAAACACAAGAACACACACGCGCACACACTCACACACGCATGCACGCACACACACACACACGTTGGGGGGCTAAACTTTCCTTTCAGCATCTCCCAAGGTGAAAGACAGGTGCAATAAAACACACACTCACCCTGCACACAGACAGACTGCTAGACAAACACACAGGCGGATTGATAGAGAAGCGGACGGATAGACACACAGATAAACAGACCACGAGACAGGCGGACTGCAGTAGTACCTGCTCTGCAGACAGAGTAGACAGATAGACAGAGAGATAGACACAGTATGTAGTAAGGATATACTGTATACGTAGGTCACCTAAAGAGGCTCAACGGCCAAAATGTTCTGTTTCTTCTAGTTTTCAGTGTGGAATTTACCTTCACTGTTCATTTGCAGTCGAAATATACTGACAGAGCTCCCTACTCAAACATATATATGTACAGATGACAGGTACATCGTTTTTCTGTATAGATAGACCAGGGCTGTACCTGCTGAAAGGATAGATTAGATACTGCACATATGTAGATAGATACAGTATATACTGTAGGATATATATATATAGATACATTATGCAGAGATAGATTGGGCCTGTGCCTGCTGTGTGAACTGATTAAGTAGATATATAGATTAGAAATATTGATAGATTAGAGAGAGGTAGACCAGGGTTGTACCTGCTCTGTGGAGCAGTTGAAAGTGTGAGACTCAGATCTCCGGTTGTCTTCCTTGAACTTCTTAGCTAGAACAAAACAAACCTCCAGTCAGACACACAGAGACACGCAGACTGCTGCTCTGTCCCTGGGGTTACAATACAGGGGATTTGTCTCTCATCATAATTAATCTTTCTCATTCTGATCTGTAGCCTATAGCTTTCAAATCTAGGTCAATCATGTTAGCGGAGTGTCAGTGGTGTTTAACTCATAACCGCACCAGAGTGAGCCTTCTTGTCAGTGTGGCAGCTAAGCAATCCTCAATCTCACTATATGAAAGGCACTATATGAAAAGGGAAGCTCTTGGCTTCTTGAAGTCAGGCAGGAAAGCAGTAATGACATGTTCATTATCTCAATGTGTATTTTCAGCGTGCCTTCTGTGACTCTCTCCTACTTTCTCTTTCTAACCAGTCTGTTTCTCTCACTGTCTCATAGTCACTCTCTCTGCCCCCCTGACTCTCTCTCTGCCCCTGTCTCTCTCTCTGCCCCGTCTCTCTCTCTGCCCCTGTCTCTCTCTCTGCCCCATCAGTCTCCCAGTCTCTCTCTGCCCCTGTCTCTCTCTCTTCCCCATGTCTCCCAGTCTCTCTCTGCCCCTGTCTCTCTCTCTGCCCTGTCTCCCAGTTTCCCTCTCTGCTCCCTCTGTCTCTCTCTCTGCCCCACGTCTCTCTGTCCCTCTACCTCTCTTACTCAATTCAATTCAATTCAAGGTGCTTTATTAGCATGACCGATGGGTACAATCAGTGTTGTCAAAGCAAATGAAAGTAATGATATTTACATTAAACAAAACAAAGAATAGAAGTAAAATAAAATCTACAGACATATTACAGACATTTACAACAAAGACATGTTATAAA